TTTTTTTTTTTGCTGCTCAATCAGCTTTTAACAAAATAGAAGAGAACAAACTTCCACAGCCGTCTTGTTAAAAATGCAGAGGATTTTTATGAAGCAAATCCAAGAACTGAGTTTCCAGGAATTCTCTAAGGTGGTTTTCCCGGGAAATTGCAAGGGAGGACAAAAAATAGCGTGTTTATAATAAATACCACAATCTGTCGCTGCTTGTCCTCCACATTCTAATTTGTAAAGTTCTCTTCGATGGTGTTTTTTTTAAAAGTGGGATGTTGTTGAATCTTTGAAAGGACAACTTTTATATTTGCTTATCTGTTGGCAAAGCGAGTGACCTCCCAGCTGCAAAATTGTAAGTGTAAAAGTTGACCACAAAGTTCCTCTCTGGCATTATCTGATCAGGATAAGCATACAATCTGTATATTCCTTCCTGGGATGAACTTGTGCATGTCATTTGCAAAATCTTCTCATCGTAGAGCGAGCAAACAGGAAACAGCAGCTGGCAAACCTGTTTTTAAAAGTATAACTTTTACACGCCGTGAGTTGTTTTTTTAAATAAGCTCAATTATTTTGCAGAGTAGCTACAGTAGAATGTTATGCCGACCTACAAAAACAGATTTTCCCTGAGCTTGCTTATCTAGAAACTCACAGGAAATTAACAAGATAAAACAGACTTTTAAAAATCTTTTTTTTTTTAAATGGCAGTGCATGCGATCAGATTGTGAGATGGTAAATGTTGAATACAATCCATTTTGAAAAAGTGAAGATTCAGAAGAAACCCACTAATTTTACCAAACCTTTTTTTTCAGGGTTTGGTTGGTGTTTTGGAAGAATTTATTTTTTTTAGCCAGGAAGAGCCATAGACTTTGTGTGAATGTTTTGCTTATGCGTTTTGATGCTTAATATGGAAATGCTAGAGCTTTTACAACATTTTTTTTAAAAAAAGTCCTTTATCACACCTTTATTATTTTTATAAATAATTCTAGGTGCAAGCACACACAATACTCCTTCCTCTATATTTCCCAAAACCCTGTGAGGTGGGTTGAGTTGAGGGAGAAGGACTTGACTTAAAGTCACCCATCTGGATTTCGTGCTTGAGGTGGGACTAGAACTCCCAACCTGGTGATTGGTTCACAGTCACCCAGCTGACTTTCATGCTTAAGAAAGGACTAGAACTCACCGTCACCTGGTGACTGGCCCAAAGTTCCCCAGCCAACTTTCATGGCTAAGGTGGACTAGAACTCACTGTCTCCTGGTGATTGGCTCAAAATCCCTAAGTTGGCTTTCACCCTAAGGCAGCTCTTGAAGTCACAATCCCCTGATTTCTAGCCTTCACCTCTAGACCAAATTGGCTTTTTGAGTTCAAATCTCAACTCGGCTGACATGGGATTGTATTTCTGATGAGCATAGAGTCCTGATTGGTTGATTTATATTTTTTCTTTGTTTGTAAAAGTAACCCACTGGCTTTTGTGTTGCAGAAATTTGTAAGCACAACGGTTCGGCCCACTCTGCTCCCTTACTCAGAGTTATACAACTGGGATAGTGCCGCTCGTTTTGTTTCTGATTACCTCAACATGGAGCCTCTTCCTTCTCCACTAGCACCGGTAAGAAATAGGTCCTGCATGGGTGATCTGAAGGTTCCATGGTGGGGGAACTGATGCAAAGAAGGACTCAAAGCCATGTAGATGTGGTGCTAAAGATGGCCTAAAGCAGGCTCCCTTTTCAGTGTTTCCTAACACCCGGTCCAAGATCCTTCACACATACTATCACAAAGACAGTGCCGATGGCTGCATCATTGGAAGATTTGAAAGACCAGGTTAAGGACATTGTCTTGGAGAAGGTCCACCTAGGTGGTTGCTACAAGTTGACACTGACTGTCCCAAAGTTGACATGTCCCAAAGATGCTTTTTCAAGAAGCAACTTGACTTTCTTGGTTTTTCTTTGAAGATGTTTTACTTCTCATCCAAGAAGCTTCTTCAGTTCTTTCATTTTCTACCATTCAGTCAGAACTTGAAGAAGCTTCTTGGACGAGAAAGTGAAACGTCTTCAAAGAAAAACCAGAAAGTCCAGTTGCATCTTGAAAAAGCACCTTTGAGACAACCATGACCAGGAGGACTGAGAATCTCCATAGACACTGAATTCATGGCATATAATCAATCGGTCAATCATTACGAACTGATATATTTTGCATACTTGTTCGTTTAATTTTTGGTTGTACATCTCATGAACCAAAGCTGTGTCTTTATTGAACGAAATAAACCATGGGTAGAAACAGTATACCAAAATAGTTATTGAAGCATGGAGTTATAAAATGTTCACAGTGCAATCAGCAGTAATCAATAATAAAAATGCAGAGAATTGAAGTTGCAGCGAAAAGTTTAAAAATCACAGCGGGTTCAAGGATGTGTGTCTTCTCTCTCCAGCCCTGTTACTTATGTTCACCAACAACCATCTTGAGGTACCAGCGAGGAAACTGCTTTGATTTTAGTGTGCTTTTATGCTCTCTGCTAATTGGGGCAGGCTATGATGCCTACTGCGTGAACGGCTATGCCACCAAGGACATGTGCATGATGGACGAGTCCACGGAAGAGTGCCCGCTCTTACAGAAGCCAGAAGAGGTGAGAAACAGGACTTGAGTGGGGATCCAGAGCCAGTTTGGCCTACTGGTTAATGCGCCACGCTAGAAACCAGGAGATGGTAAGTTCTAGTCCTGCCTTAAGCACAAATGTAAGCTGGCTATCTTTGGGCCGGTCACCAGAACACAGTGAGTTCTAGTCCCACCTTCGGCATGAAAGTTGCCTGGGTGATTTTGGACCAATGACTAGGAGACTGGGAGTTCTAGTCCCACCTTAGGCATGAAAACCGGCTGGTGACTTTGGGCTGATCATTAGGAGGTAGTGAGTTCTAGTCCCACTTTAGGCATTAAAATCAGCTGGGTGACGATCACTAGAAGATTGTGAGTTCTAGTCCCGTCTTAGGCATGAAAGTAAGCTGGGTGACTTTGGGCTGATCATCAGGAGATGGTGAGTTCTAATCCTGCCTTAGGCATGAAAGTTGGCTGGGTGACTTTGGGCCAATTACCAAGAGACAGTAAGTTCTATCCCGTCTTAGGCATGAAAGCTGGGCCCATCCCTCTCTCTCAGCCCAACTCATCTCACAGGGTTGTTGTTGTGGGAAAAATAAGCAGAAGAAGGAATATTAGGTAGGTTCCCTGCCTTGGCTTACTAATCAGAAAAAAACAAAGTGGGATAAATAAAATCTAACAAACAAAAATAAAATAAATAATTTGAAGTTGCTACAAAGATAGAAAGAGAGAGAATAGTGAGTGGACAGTTCAGACAGACTTTGTACTTTAGTTTTAAATCTCCCCCAGATCAGGAGTAGTCCTCTTTTCAGACTAACACATTTTATTAAAAGGCAAAAACTTGTATGAGCTCATTTTGTCTGATGCATGAAGTGCTGAAACAATGTTTCTCCAACCTGGGGATTTTAAGATATATAATTCCTAAAACAGCACGGCTTGCTGGGGAATTCTGGGAATTGAAATCCTCATATCTTAAAATTCCCAAGATTGAGAAACATGGGGCTAAATATAGGTAGTCCTTGACTTACAACCGTTCATTTAGTGAAAGTTCAAAGTCACAATAGCACTGAAAAAAAGATCACTTTTCACACAATCGTTGCAACATCTCCATGATCATGTGATCAAAATTCAGAGGCTTGGCAACTGACTTGGATTTACGACGGTTGCAGCATCCCAGGGTCTTGGCTTATTTGCATTTTCAAAAAAAAATTTGTTTAGCTCCCCTAATTTTTTTGTGCCATCTCTTCTTTTTCCATTAATCCCATTTTATGTTTAATTATACCCATTTGGTTTTTAAGATTTTTATGCTGTGGGTTTCGTTGTAGTTCCTTCTCCAGTTTCTTATGGTCTTCTTCTAAAATCTGTTGCATTTTTTCTTTTTTAAATATTCCTTCTTGTATAGGTTATAGTCACACCTCTGGTATATTTATATATATCGGTCTGATCTAAGTATAGTATAGTATATAAAATCATACATTGCAATGTCCTACCTGTCAATGAATACTTCAGCTTCAACCATAACAATACAAGAGCACACAAGAGATACAAACTCAAGGTTAACCGCACCAAACTTGATTGCAGGAAATACGACTTCAGCAACAGAGGGGTCAATGTCTGGAATACTCTACCTGACTCTGTGGTTTCTTCCGCAAACCCCAAAAACTTTAACCTTAGACTGTCTACTATTGACCTCACCCCCTTCCTAAGAGGCCTGTAGGGGGCATGTATAAGCGCACCATTCATGCCTACCATCCCTGTCCTATTGTTTTTTTATTTTTCTTATATGTATCCATGTATTCATAACTATGTTTTTACTTATACCTATAATCTTGTAAGTAATTGACAATAAATAAATAAATAAACAAACAAACAAACAAATAAATAAATAAATAAAAAATACACCTTCATAGTATCCCACACATTTTGTAATAAGGTTGCCTCCAATTTATTTTCTTTGAAGAAGAAAGCCAATTCTTTCCCCACGTTGTTAATGAATTCCTTTTCCTTTAAAATTGAATTATTCACAGTCTCTCTTGACCTTTTCTTTTTGCAACCTTCTGACAAGCACAGTCAACGGGAAAGCCAGATCCACTTAACAACAATGTTACTAACTGAACAACTGCAGTGATAAACTTAACAACTGTGGCAAGAAAGGTTGTACAGTGGGCGAAACTCAACAATTGTCTTGCTTAGCAATGGAAATTTTGAGTTCCCTTGCAGTCTTAAGTTGTGGACTCCCTGAGTTCAAATCCTGATTTCAACCTTGTAATTTCAAACTTGCAGCTCACCGAAGCTTCTGTCTTTTCCAGGTATTGGTTTGTTGAGAAGGGGTCCTACTAGACTCTACCTATTTTGGGGCTACCTGTTCTGACCCACGTCCTTTTCCAACAAATCAAACACAGTCCAAAAGGAACAGAAACCTTGTAATGCTTTTACAAAGTAATTAGCTGTGATAAGCACAAGTCTTGCCAAACTGTGCAAGACTTGCCAAAAGATAACAGACAAGAAATAATTTGCAAAATAAGAATCTTCAAATACAAACTCAGGATACTGGAATGTCCACAAGGCTGGAGTTTCAAAACGTCTTTGCCTTCTGCAAAGTATGTTCGCTTCACAGCTGGCTTTTATCTTCTTGAAGGAGGGGCCATTACCTTGCAGCCTTACTCCAAAGTCGCTCTTGCTGCTGCAGCTGCTCTTTCCCGCGAGCAGCCCTGCGCGCACGCTTTGCACTTGGCACAGGCTCCTCGGGAACCTCCTCGTCGCTGCTGCCAGCCCCCACAATCCCTGAAGGCAGCAGTCCACTCCCTAATGGTCCTGGCCCCTCATCTGAGTCCTCGCTCTCCTCAGCCAACTGCACCTCCTGCCGGCTGACCACAACACTACCATTGATTAATGTGATTCTCCTCTTACAATTATTATTGACCCACTGCCCTCAAATGCCTGTTTTCAAGAGTGGAGGTGCAGCAAAAGTGCAGTGGGTTCAACCTCATTTGGAAATCACACAGTGATTCCCCTTCCCCCAAAGAACCCAAGAAGAAACAGGAGCTCCCAGCCCTGCGTGCAAGCTTTCTGCATTATTCCCCAGCCATGGTCACACCTTTCCTTTCTTCAAAAGTTAATTTCCACCCCTACACCAAAATTGTCCCCACAAGTCATTTTGGGAGGTTTACATCCACTGTCTGCAAAGCCCTTGAGAGGGCAGCATCCTTTCGACTTGTAAAAGAAAGATAATGTCATTTTTCTTTTCAAAGTGCACATTGTGATTGAAGAGTATCACTGAGGATATTTTATAGTAAATTTTTAAATTGTTGAATAATTTAGATAATGCTTGGTATTGTTTTGACACAGTGGTCTTTGATTCATACAATGTGATACAATTAATAAATACAACCAGTTAATTAAAGGTTATTCACACATTAATTTTAGATAATATATATCAGTGTTTCTCAACTCTGACAAGTTGAAGATGTGTAGACTTCCTGCGACTTGAAGTCCACACATCTTCAATTGTTAAGTTTGAGAAAGGAAGGAAGGAAGGAAGGAAGGAAAAAAGAAAGAATGCAGGGAGGAAGGAAGGAAAGAAGGGAGGGATGGAGGGAGGGAGGAATTATTGCTGGAAACCAGCAAAACATTTAGTGAATTGCAGTCACATGAACACAGAACACCATCATGGATTGTGAACTAGCCTGCCTAACTTATTGTCATGTGCCTGTGAGGGGCTGCCCCATCCAAGCATGCTAGGTATGTTTTATGGGTTCTAAAGCACCCATTCCCTGGCCATTGTAACATTGAAAATGACAGGTACAAATGTAGCAAAAGAATACACTCAGTGACCAGGTCCAAGAGGTTTGGCCAATCCCTCTGCTGTCCCTGAGATGATGACCAGGAGTAGAATATACCACATCCTTCCTTTTGTGCAATTAAAAAGTATTTGGGCTTCACCAGTAGTCTCCTGGCCATGAGCAGACTTTTTGGGTGAGGGTAAATAATTTCCAAAGATTGGATTAAAAAGAGGGATTGTTCTTGGCCCCAGGTCCAAATTGAAGAAAAGAAGGAGAAGGCTAGGAAATACGCCATCAAGCCCCCACGTGACCTGCGGAGCAAGTATGAATTACGCCAGGAAGAGAAGCAACAAGCTAAAGAACAGGCTGCAGAAGACAAGAAACAGAAGGAGGAAGAAGAGAAGAAAGCCGTACGTAGTTTAGAAGAGACTTGTGGGTCTGGGTTGGCTGACTTGAGTGTGGTAGGAAGGCATCCAGAGATCAAGAGACAGGTGACAGCTCAGCCCTGGAGAAATGTGGTTGGAAGCATTGCAGATCATTCAGAGATATATATCTGGCAGGGATGGGATGCTACCAATTCGCACCGGTTCAGGAGAACTGGTTGTTGATTTTACATCTGGTTTACTGAACTGGTAGTTGCAACAACTGGATGGCCCCATCCGCCCCTCCCCTCCCAGGAGTCTCCATGTTGCCTGTTTTGGATCCCAAGTAAATACAGGCCCCGCTCAAAGGCTGAGGAAGGGCAAAAAACGAGCCTCACGGAGGCTCCAGAAGGCTGGAAATAGATCCATTTCTGGCCTCCAGAGAGCCTCCGGAGCCTGGGGAGGCCATTTTTTCCTTCCCGGAGGTTCAAGGAAAGCCTCCAGAGCCTGCGAAGGGTGAAAAACAGGCCTCCCGGAAGTTCTGGAAGGATGGAAATGGCCCCATTTCTGGCCTACAGAGGCCTCTGGAGCCTGGGGAGGCCATTTTCGCCCTCCCGGAGGCTCAAGGGAAGCCTCCAGAGCCCGGGAGGATGAAAATGCCTCACCCCCACCATGGTGCAGGAGGCCGACTAGGCCACGCCCACCATGGTCATACCCACTCAGCAACTGGGCAGAGAATCAGTTGCTAAATTTTTTTGAAGTCCACCCCAGATACCTGGATGACATCACTAGCCACAAGGTTGGGAAATTCCTTTTTCAGATTCTTTGGTTCTGTCTTTACCCCATATTAATACTAGTAAGACCTTCCTGTAGACCTGCTACCTCAACCGTAGCCAGCTTCAAGGAGTTGGACACCTTTGGCCAAAGGTTTGTGGTGCTTTTTAAAAGTATTTTCTAAGGTTTTATGATATCTCGTACTGGAGAAATTTATAATTTTGCAAGATCATGTGAAATATCAGGATTTCCATGGGATTTTGCTGGAATCCATGAGAGTTTGACCAGTTAATTTTAAAATACTGATCCAGGCCACTAAAGATGACATGGATCATGCAGGTCTATGACAATTCACCACAGCCAACTCACCATGGCCAACTCACTATGGCCAACCTGCTGCGATCAACTCACTGTGGGACAAGAGTTACACTAATATCAAAGAAATGGTGGGTTAGTATCATTAAAGAAAGGACGAATTCACTGCTTGGGACTTTCTGGGAGATCTGCCCCACCCTTTCTCTTTCTCCCTCCCTCCCTTGTCTCCTTCCTTCCTTCCTTCCTTCCTTCCTTCCTTCCTTCCTTCCTTCCTTCCCCCCTCTCCCTCCCATCCACCCTCTCTCTACAATGTAAAAAAAATATTGAGACTCTAGAAAGAGTGCAGAGAAGAGAGCAAACAGGATAATCAGGGACTGGGGGCTAAAAC